TTTCCCCAAGCTCAAGTGGCAAATAGGGTTCATCTCATATCACTTTGGAACTGGAAAACTGGTAATAAGTTTACATATGTGATGTACCCTGATGATTGTGCTGGATGGCACTGCTACTACGCCCTACCAGCTCCCAAAGAGGAAGACCCAGTAATACACTGATCTGGAAGAAATTGGGAACGGGCTTAAGAATAGCCATGCTGCCACTGGAATTCAAATCTGATGCTTGCCTCAGATCCGTGGCCAGGGCAGACTGCCCAATTAAGGCTAGACTGTATCAGCAGGCCAGGATTTAGGGCTGGGCACAAGAATGACATAGGTAACACACATGGTAGGGAACAGCTGTAAGCAGATGAGATTTCCCAAGTGCCAGATTGGAAAGAAACCTGTATCAGTTCCTAAGTATATTATTTCCCAGGTGGAGCAGTGGTAAAGAATCTGCCTGCCAATGCAGGAGACGCAAGAGACACAGATTCAATCCCCGAGTTGGGCAGATCCCCTGGAGGAGGAAATGGCAACCCGCTCCAGTATACTTGCCTGGAAAATTCTATGGACAGAGGAGTCTGGTGGTTACAGTCCATGGGGTCACAAAGAGTTGGATATGACTGAGCAAACGACTGAGCCTGCACACATATTATTTCAGCGGCTTCAACTGTTAGCTTTTAGTTAAGGAGTACCCACGAGGCCCAAATCCTCTGGTGAGGCAGGTTAAAGAAAGAAACCACAAATGGTAATTCAGTTTTAACATTTTATTGGGTAAATGATTTTAAAGGTAATAACAATAGTGTCAAAACTACTACAATATCTTTCCACAGCCATACCTTACAGACCCACGTAAACCTTCTCATTTTTCTTTTTCTTCATTTATAATATTTTAAATCCATACATGTCATATAAAATGCCCATTTCCAACAGTTTCTTCAAACTATTAAGCAATTAAATGTGGAAGGAAGGAGGATCTAGTTATACTTGAAGGGGCTGCAGATAATTGGTGATGTCTTACTGTAATCAAAAAACAGGGTACTAAGAAAGGGAGGACGAGAGAGCTACTCCAGGTAGCTTTGCTCATTACAAGTCTCACCACTGCATCACCAAGAACTCATTATGCTGGTGACTGATTCAAAGTAATTTTGGGGAACATATAAAACACTAAAATAACTTAGAAACTAGATCCAAATATTTCAAAAGTAATCAACTTTCATATACAAAAACAGTCAGAGGTGGTTACAAAAGTTTGTTTTCTCAGTGCGTCTATGTACCAGCGCAGTTACTGGGTCCAGAGCAAAATAAAAGGTTTATTTTCTTCTGAAACAGTAATAAAAAACAAGGAAAACATATCTTTGTATATAAAGGATCAATGCTGGTCTTAAGAATAATGTAATCAGAAACCCTTAAATCGAGAGGCACACAATGGGTTTCCGCTCTTAAAAAATAAAAGGAAAGTCACCAGTTTATTTCAATGGAGGAGGTGCTCACACCCCTCAAATAAACTTAATTCAATTTAACATCACTAGCAAAAATCACTTAGAAACTGTACAAAAATAAAAAAGTTAACACATTTAATCCTGCAAGGTTTTTGTAAGGACTGGAAGGCAGGCTTTTGGAGCAGCATTTGGGCATGGCTGGGGGCTTCTTTGGTTTGATCTAACACACAGAAGAGATGGAACCTATTCCAGGTGACAGTTTCCAATTTCCTGCACATTTGAAGACATGAAAAGAGGCCAGTATACAAACTTCCGGTGTGCTGGGCATTGGGGTTGTATGCAGTGGACTGAAAATCTTATAACTGCTTTAAGAGCGGTGGGGGGTGGGGTGGTGGGTAAAGAGCAAGCCTTGCACTTCCTCCATTAATCACACCGGCCTCTCATGATAGGGGAGACGGGCAGGGCAGTAGCACATTCTCCTACAGTCAGAAGGCCACTTAATGGGAGAAGGGGGAGGGGCAATTGTTCTTTTAGAATCTGGTACCTGGCTGACCTTGTTTAAGAACAAGAGAACCCTTCCAGAAATGGAAGCCTTTTGCTACATACCAAAGTAAAATACGTACTATTTTCCAAGAGGAAAAAAAATACCCAGTTGCATTTGAAAAACAGAAAACATAAATGGAACTAATTAACATTTAAAAGGGGGGCTATGTAAACTTTGTGCTACTCAAATGAAGTTCAAGTATTACTTCTGAGCTGTTTAGAGATCGCTGAACTTATACAATATTCTGGTGATAAGAGTGCAATTCACATTTGTGTTTCTGAACAAATAAACCACAACTGGCTAGAACACAACCTGTGCAATTAGAATCTTCGTCTGAGTTAAAAACACATGCTACATATTTCAACATGTTCAAAGTTAATTCAAACCACATATTTAACAGCTTTGCAATATACGACAAAGGTGAAAGGGTCTAGCATTTGTTTGAAGCACACCATTACAAGTTTGTATAACACCTTTTACACTACAAAATCTTTTAGTCAACAGCTACTTAGACACAAAAAATGCACTGTGCATTAATTTGAATACAAAAGGAGACAAAACTATCCTTTTCCCCCAAGCCACGGTGGGAAATATTGCTGACCTCGTCCTCTGAAGCCTGCAGGATGGTTATTTCTTCAGTATAACATTATTACACTGGTAAGAAAATCTGTATAACATCTGCATATATCAAGAATTTTAAAAAATCTGATATGATTTTAGAGTCCGCATGACCAGTCACGTGACCTGCTCAAGATTGATTAGCACCGTTAAATACATTAACACACACATATGTATGTATTGTATACACACTCACATATGCATGTAATAGATCTTTTCTTTAAAAAAAAACTTCTAACCATGAGCTCACCCAGGATGAGGAGCCTGTTGAACTGATGAGATGATGGATAAGATGGATCAATATTGGTCTATTCTGTCTCTCTTCAGTTTGCTTGTTTTATTTACTTTTTTTTGCAGCAGACAATATCATTCAGCTTGTGCTCAGTTTCCCTATAAGGGCAAGAAAAAATTTCCATCAGGTAGCCACTTGTTTTTATACTGAAAGACTAATCTGCTCCAAGATGCTCCCAAGTAGAAATGAAAGGACTCAAAATCCCTTTCTAAAGGCCAACAGCTAGCTTTCTCTAACTAATCTCTAGGTTCAATGGAACTGGCTACCGAGGTTCCATTTCAGGCTAACAACTGGCTTCTTAGTTAAGGCATCACAACTGAAAATGGTTATTTCAACAACAGATGCTGTGGATGAAGGAATACCAAAGAACTTCTGAGAACTCTCATCAAAAATAAAAGCAGTTTGCTTTGCTGCAAGGGCCAGCAGAAGAAATTCAGCCAATTCACCTCACAAACTAGAAAAGGGGTTTCAAATTCTGAACTAGCAGTCTGTTACTTGTCACAGCAACTACATGTATAAGTTATGCCATCTTGATATTCAGTGACATCACGTGGTTTTAGACTCTGTTCTGCACTGTACTTATATTCATCACTTGAAATCTTTGTTTCCTGTTTGAAAAAAAAAGTTTACATACACACATATATTTATATATGCTTACTACCAAAATATGAAGATAATCTTTCTCCAGAGTCATCTGTCATTTTTCCTGGGGGTATACATACAGACCTCCCATTGACTCGAGGAAGTTCTCTGTGTATACATCATGGGAAAACTAGCGTGCAAATGAGCTGGGCTCTAGCAACTATATCATACCTAAATGCCAACTCCATTTCTGCAGGGGCAAAATAACATCTTCTCAATATAGTAAATGTGTTTCTATCAAAAGTATGTAGTGCAGAAAGAGATTCAAGCGATTTTATAGTATTTCTAAAACTCCAGTATTGTCCCCATGATAGACATGTCTGAAATCATGACATGTATGAACTTTTGTTTCACTAGATTATCATTACCATTTCTTTAAATGGTAGCTAAAATTGTCTCTGGCCAATCATGAGTTATTGAAACCTAAAGCTAACAAATTTAAATTAATATATAATAGAAATGTGTCTCTTTTTGGTTATTTGCTCAAAATAAATTTTTTCAGCTTAAAAAAATACTCAAGAGTAAGCAATTTGTCTAATCTGTTGTTTCACATATATAAACAATAAAATTTTATAAGAATATTTCTCTAAATTGCCTTTTTTCTAACCCCTCTTAATTCCACTTCATTATATTCTTCTCAAAGGCACTAAATTCTGTATCTGTTCTCTTCCTGATATATGCTGCTTTTCAAAATGATTTCTGTAGCATATTTCAAAGGTAGCTTGTACTTTCTTAAAACAGTGTTTCAGTTTGTAAGTTGGTTCTATAAAGTGATGAGGCAGTTTTTCCTATAACTAGCACAATAGGCATAAATGATTTCTCACTCTGTGTGACAAGTCCTATCATGGACCTTCGAATATTCTACACTAGAATGAAAGTTCATATATTTTAACCATGGGAAAAACATATACTTAAGCAGTAAAGACCCACATACTAAGCTCTTGTAGCAAAATGAATTTTAGACAAATTCAAAAGTATACAAATACCTGAATCTGATATGAATTACTCCCAAACATGGCTATCAAAAGTTATCTATCTTACTAAGGAAAACAGAGGAAAAACCTAAATGAAATCCTTAAAAACTGCACAATTTCTTCCATCCACAGTCAAAAGAAGGAAGGAAGAGAAGAAAGAAAGAAGACAGAAAGGAAGGCAAGAAGGACTGAAAGACAAACCTGACTGAAATAGCAAAGCAAAATTCTACATAATATTGTAAGGAAAGAAAACTCCAAAATTAATATATGCTGCAAAAAAAAAATCAATGATCTAAAATAATAAAACAGGAGGATCTTCTTAATAAATGCCACTTTCCTACCCGTTACCATGATGATCTTAGTTGACAATGTCAAAGCTTCACCATGGCAACGGAAACTATCATCATAAAATGGTACAGTAAAACAGATAGCTAGACCAAGAAGGGGTAGGGTCTCCTGGGAAGAGGTCTGCAGAGAGGCCCAGTGACTGGTTGTGCGGCTCAGTGTCAGGAATAATGGTTGTATGGTGGAAGGGGATGCCCAATGCCATTTTGGAAATGATGATGCTGGCGATGAGCAAGGTATTCAGCATAGCTCAAGGTCATCTTTTCACTACGGTACCTGAAAGAAAGTTGGAAGAGACAAAGTTAACATCACGAAGTAGGTGATGTGTGAATGTCAGAGCTAGAAGGGATCCTTAGAGATAATTCTTCTATATCAGGAAACAGAGACCTAGAGAGAAGAAGTGACTTGCCCACTGTCACACAGCTAATACATAGCAAAGGTGAGAACAGAACCCAGGAATCCAGAGTCTGAGTCCAGGATTCTGCATTCTACTACTCCTTGTTTAGGGCTTCCTTGGTGGCTCAGATGGTAAAGAATCTGCTTGCAACACAGGAGACCCGGATTCAATCCCTGGGTTGAGAAGATCCCCTGGAGAAGAAAATGGCAACCCACTCCAGTATTCTTGCCTGGGAAATCCCATGGAGAGAGGAGCCTAGTGGGCTATAGGCCATGGGGTCACAAACAGTCAGACACAACTGAGCGATGAACACTTTCACTCCTCATTTAAATTGTTCTAGAAATCGTATTGCCCTCTCAGCTCCGGTTTGCTAACAGGAAACAGAGGAAAGCCAGTCTATTACTGTCATGTACACATTTCATTCACTTGACTACTTTTTCTTCTGGGATCCTCCATCGGTTTTCTTTTACCATTCCTTTCCTTCTGTCCACAGGTCTCAGGCCTTGCCATTAAGGGAAAACAGTAGCAACACAAAACGTGTCTTGATTGTGGTATCTCAATCCTCTTTCCCCCATCTTTTTTCTTCTTTTCATTGCCACACTTCTCAGAAGAGTCATGTGTTTTCTACCTCTCCATTAGGATACTTCTCACCACTCCCTTTTGGAAGCTCTCTGTGCCTTGCATTCCATAACTTCATACTCCCCTGGTTCTCCCCTTACCTCTTGGACTGCTCCTTATCTCTCTGATCACTCTTCCCACCCTTGTGCCTTGTAAGAGTTTCCTACATTTCTCCCTTCAGTTCCTTTGTCCCTATGCTCTGTCCCAGTTCAGTGAACCTTTGCCTCACAGCATCAAGTATGTCGTCTTTACAGATGATCCCAAATCACCACCTCTAGACATGAGCTCTACACATGTACATTTTCAGTGACCTATTGGACATTTCTATACAGATATCCCAAGAAGCACTTCAAATCCAGAAATCAGTGCATAAATGGAACTCTCCTCAATGTGGTCCATGTCTTGGTCAAAGGGACTGCCTTAGTCCCTTTTACTTAGACAAAAGCCTTCACTTGCTCTTCTTCGCTACTTCTGAATGATGACTAAGTCCTTTTACTTTTTTCCACAATATTTTCTTTTCCTTCCTTTCATGCCATCCCACGGCCACAGCTCTTGTTAAGGCTCCCATTTCACTTTCTTTAGATTGCTGCCACAGATTCTTAGATAATAGAAATGTCTCCTAATTTTCCTGTTTCCAATTCTAATTTTACATTTCAAATCCATCTGTTCAAAACCTGCCAGTGGTTACTATTGCCTACAGAGTCAAGTTTAAACTTCTTACTCTCTACCTTCTGGGCCATATTTTCGCTGGTGACCACCTTCTCTATGTATACTGATGCTCAGTTGCTTCAGTTCTGTCTTGACTCTGCAACCCCATGGACTGTACCCCACCAGGCTCCTCTGTCCAGGGGACTATCCCAGCAAGAATACTGGAGTGGGTTGCCATTTCCTCCTCCAGGGGATCTTCCCAACCCAGGGATCGAACCTGCACATAGTATGTCTCCTGCATTGGCAGGTGGATATTCTACCACTGCACCACTCGGGAAGCCCCTCAGAAAGTTCTCTTTAAGTTAACCCCTTTCCTCCCCCACTCTCCCCACCTGTCAAATATTCTACTCATTCTTTAATGAGTAGAATTCTTATACTCGGCCTCCAATCTACTTCCTCTTTGAAATTTTCTGTTATCCACAACACCCTCTTGGAATTCCTCTTTCCCTACTCTATGATCTCATACCATCCATCATATTTTGCCTTCTATTAATAATTATTTTTGCACATGCCCTTCTATTCTCCTAGACTGTAACTCCTCAGAGCTGAGAATAGTTCATTTTTAGAGTATAAGCATTCAATGTGGTTTTGCAGAATTAAAAGAAATGGAAACAGCAACCCATTTTCCTAAAATGTTTGATACTTTCCTTTTTTAAGTCAGTACCCCTATGAGTCCTTGCAGAAATTCATTCAGCATCTGTGAGTCTAGCTCAGTTGTGTTTTTTTCAGCAAGCTTTCTGTCACTGCCAAGATTCTAAAGTGAAATTCAAATTTGAGGACTGCTTATCAGGATCCTGGGGTCCTGCTAAGGCATGTCAAGAGCTGGCCAATAAACTCAGGTAACTTTCTTCGATAACGTAGTCTAAAGGCTCAGAAGGTTTGCTTTAAAAAAGCCAGACTAATCACACAGAGCTAAGATGGGAAGGATGGGCTCATACATCATACAGGCTTTACTGTCGAGCACAGTTCCACTGTATCCACCCTCAGAATGGCCCTGCCATTCATTTCACTCTGTTTCAGAAAAAAAGAAGCAAGTATAGTTAGAGAAAAGATTACACAAGGTTACAGGTATGCACATCAAAATATATCGGTCAGCCCTGCACTAGGCAGTACTTTCTGTACCTGGTCAGTTTTATGGTTTTCCTGAATTCATTAGTAATCGGAGCTTTGTATCCTCCTTTTCTCAGTAAGGAGTCTATAGTCTGAATGTGGTCCCATCCTGCGGAGAGTAGACCAGATAAAATACCAGTCAAGCACATGTAATAAGCACCGTTGGTTAAATACAAAACAACTTTGTAGAGGTCAGCTATCACTGTCACCAACTGCTATCAACCCCTTTGGTCCTAAAAACAGGCACACAGAAGGGCTAAGATTTCACCCTGTGCAAAAGCAGGTATACCATGGCACACCTTCAATTTTAGCTATCCCTGCTGGCTCGCAATACTGGCTTCTTTATCTCAACCACATTCCAAGACACAGAGCCTAAGAGGCCAGCAGTAACTCTTCAGGGGTGTTGCAGTAACAAACTATAAACACTGTACTCTCCTCTAACGGTGACATCTTTAAAAGGGAGGGAAAAGACTCATTGAGCCAACTCAGTAGGACATAGAATTCCCACACTAACTCATGGTAATCACCATTTCTAATGGTATCTTCTGGAGTCAATCATGTATATCTGTGTGCAGCATTCAAAGGCTTTTTTATGGGTTCTGACACAGGATGCACACTCATACCCCAGGCCCTCAAGCTCATGTTTGCTCTACGGAGTCAAAAGAACTACAGAATTAAGAAATTTTCAAAAGTAACCCCAATAAATCTTCAAAGAGCTGCTTTAAAGACTAATAACTTGTTTGGGGGTTTACTATTAAATTTTTCAGTTCTATACCACATTTATATTAAACAGATATGGTGAAACCAAATTACCCATGCTTTCTGATGAGAAGAAAAGCTCCATGAGATAAAGAAGAGATTCATTTCAACTAACATGAAATTATAATTTAGTAGCGGCTAGAAAGACAAGATACTACAGAGTGAAATGTATTTTGTGTTACACTGGTAGTTCCTAAAGTTTGTGCTACCTATGTAAAGTCAAAAAACATTTGTTGATGAGGAACAAATAAAACACTGTAATAGTTCATTTATTCTCAATGCTCCTAATCTTCATGGGAAACTTAACAGTCTTAATAGTAGCAGAAGGAGTAATGGCAACCACCTAAGATTTGATAATGACAATGAAGTGTGTGGCTGACCATCAAACAAAAGGCTTATTATGCCACAAGGCTATAGCACAGTGGAATATGGGAAAGTGGCACATCAAATTTACAGCAAACCTCTGCCTAAAAGCCCAATTTTCACAAATCTTTCCTTTTTTGAAAGTTTATTTTTTTATGTTTTTGCTGTCAAACTTTAGTACAGAGATTCAACTTCTGTGTAATTCACCAATTTCAGACAGACATTGCAGTGGCAGTGATAGAATAATTTCTTATAATCTGACAGTGATCAGTTATCAGATATAACTGCAAGGTCAAATAGCACATTTTAATTTGTATATTTGTTTAAATTCTTCACCAGATGGTATAAAATAAAGTACAACAATGACCTTGCTCCTTTGCAACCTCCGGTAGATAGGTGGCGGTGCGTTTTGATCCTTTTTCATTGATGAATTCTATTCTAATGCCATGTACACCCACCTGAAAGAAATTGGCAGAAATTGGCAGTTTTATTAGTACAGTTTTCTTCATAGAAAAAAAAAAGAAAAAGTTATAATTTAACTTTCAGAGAATGCAGTTTTTTTTTTCTTTCCCCTTGCTTTTTGGAAGGGCATATCTCTTCTCTTTCCAAAACACTGACTTTGGAGATAAAAGGCCAGTATCATGGCCATGGAGACTGAAAACGTTGATTTACATGTGCCCAACATGCACCACGGAGAAGGCAATGGCAACCCACTCCAGTACTCTTGCCTGGAAAATCCCATGGACGGAGAAGCCTGGTGGGCTGCCGTCTATGGGGTCGCACAGAGTCAGACACGACTGAAGCGACTGAGCAGCAGCAGCAGCAACACGCACCAGGTTATGTATGCCATTCTCTATGGAACTGGGACCACCACTCTGGGGCTGTGTGTAGAATAAGACAATCAATGGCAAGTGTCCTGCCCCCACCCCCAAACTGTAGCTCATGCCAATAAGGAACTAGGCCAAGGGAACCGACTTTAGAGAGACGGCAAACAATCATCCTGCTTTCAGGGGCAAACACCATTTCAGACTGAGCTCCACAATTTGTGTGGTGGCTGACTCCCTTCCCAAATTGTCTAGTCTCTTTGAAACCTTGATTAGATATAGATAAACAAACACAGATAAGACAAAAAAAATCTAACAACCAGATACTGCATCGTCACCCATTATGTCTAAAAAAAATGTATTTTGGATTGAAGTGTGCCTGTGGCAAACCCTGTCTACAACACTGCTGCCAAATCTAAGAGCAATAAAATTTCAAATCAAAAGGAATCTGTCCTTTCTGGTCATATGTCACATAGAATAGTGTATAGAGCTAAAGACCATACAAAGTTCTTATATTCTTTATATACATTGATAATGACATTTCAAAGTATAACAAACTACATTCTGCTCTCCCAAATGTATGGCTGCTATAGATCAAGGGTTCCTAGGTGGAGTTTAAGGTTTTCCAGGAGGGAAGATGTTAAGACCAGGTAAACATTTTTACCAGAGAAGGAGGCTTCTTTGCAGAGCAGCTGGTTACATCCATTCATCTGTATGGATGTAAAGGCCTTTTGCTTCTTCTGCACTAAGCCTGGAATTTCTATTTTTCAGGAATAAGAAGTCCTCTGGAAAAGCTATTTTATTTTTTTCCCCAGGTCTTCACACATCCATCCATTAGAACCTGTCAGATCTTCTGAGAAGTTTATGTTTTTTATTAAAGCCTATCTCTGTGGCTATTTTTTCTATCTAATATCAGTATTCTTATGAATATCCTTCTGCTGAAAATGCAATCAGGGCAGCTGTTTAAAAACTAACACAATAAGGCCTCCCATCCCCTGTGGGGAATGACCATGGACAGCTGAGAAGACATATGAGTGCTCAGCTATCAGGCATTTCCAGGATAAAGGACATCTACTAATCTCCCCAGTGCCTGACAAAATATTGAGACAATGACAAATTTGCAACAGTTTCTGTATACTGACTTTCTGATCAGTGACTTTGAAATTTTTTCCTTCAACAATATCAGATCCTTCATAATTTGTTTTTAAAAACATACGGTATAAACAATTTATGCTGCTATCATTCATTGAGGTGAATTCTGCATCTTCAAGTCAATTTATCAAAAGCCTGTCATGTTAAAATTGAAAAGAATTTTGGTGTTTATTAAGGTGTCTCATCAAAACTGTGAGAGAAAGAATGTTTCCCTATCTGTGAGATGAGAATGTTAGATTCAATCAGTAGTGTTTAATTGGTCTGGGGTGGGGCTGGGGGCTGCAAAGTTTATCAGAATTTCAAGCGGGTTCGTAGGTACAGTTTGTAAAAAGAATAACTCCCCAGGCGATTTTTATTCTGGGTTAACTAGATAACCTCTAATAATCAGTCTAGCGCCGACAAACTGTGGCTAAGTATTGAAAAACAAAAACGATTCAGGCAAATTGGAGGTGATTTACACATAAATCCTTTCTTCATAGAGTACATTCTGTGTTTTTCAAAAAAAATTACAGAGATTTTGAAACCTAGTAATTTAAAAATGAAAAGAGGTAAGACCAATTGTATGGTACATGAATAATATCTTAATAAAGATATATATATATATATATATATGTAGATAGATATGAAGATGATAAGACCAAACTGGAAGAGCATATTGACCAAAATAAAAATTATTCATGAATAAAACTGATTTACTTTTGTATTTCAAGGAGGCCCCACCATCAAATTAGATATAAAAAATTATCGAAATTCTCCCATTTTGAATCAGTACCACATTTACAAGTTTTAACTCTTTTTTGTGTTCCTATGATTCTGAACAATCGAAAGCCCCTGTAAATTGAACTGTAGGTATGGTGATTTTCAAGTGATTCCTTTGTGAGAAATAACTTATTTCATACATCAAAAATATACTCCACAGAGATATAAAGCCAAAGCCAGGGTGACTCATTTTTTTTTTTTCTGACTAGTAGAATCAGGAGAATGCTAATAATGTTCTGAACAGAATCAAAGTATAATAGCCTTTTTTCACCTGTTGAGCAACAGCATTTTCCTTGCTCCCAGAACCACAGACACCACCAAATAGTCACACTGCACAATCAAAACAGGAGAGTGGAAAATGGCCTACTGTGGGGAATGACCAAATTTGGCTAACCTGGGGAAATCACTGGCCTTGCAAATTAAGTCATCTTCACTGAAATGAGCACCAAAACTAATTCTGCATTGTTGGAGGGAGGCATCTGTCACAGCTTTAACTCCAAAATGTAACCCTCATGTACAATAATTGAATTCTCCCTCCCTTCGACAGACTGGAGAATCCTTTGGGCCAGCAACATCCCAGGAGACAAAGGCTCTAGTTGCAGTGATCAGCTAGATAAGAGGGCAACTGACTTAGGGGTCTGGGAGTCCTTGAAGCAAACTTGCTCCAAAACACTATCACAGTACCTTTCCATTTCTTAGGATATATAAGGAGTTAGCATATGGGAAAACTACGTCACTCAACACCCTTAACCACCGCTGCCCAAAATTACAGCCAGGTGAGCAAAAACTGGAGACACGCAAAATCTAGCCTTATTGGAGTCTTCAGGTCATTTTCAAAACTATTAGAAGGTCTGGGGAGAAAAATGCTTTCAAGGTCCATCAGCTGTGATAATATCCTTTTAATCAAGGCTGTACTTTTACTAAGCAAAGCTATAAATCAACTGGAATGGTAGTAAATTAAATGTAGGACTTATAGATAAGAGGATATGGAATTAAACAGCTGTATCTGTGTGTGCTGTGACAGAACATGAAGAGTAGTTCAACAGATTCCTATTTCATGTTAAAAAGAAAGCCATATTTATTCTGAACCTTCCCACAGCAAGTGATTTTTATTAGTGCTATTATACAATCTTTTGTTTTCAATATGGCCCAGAATGATTAAATATCAAGATGAATGTTAGGACCCTAAAATATATCTTGATTATTCTGGAGGTGATTATTCAGTGTGGGGATTATGCATCCTCAACTCCCCCTGGCCTCGGCCTCATCCTCTTTCCTCTCTTGTATATTTCTCTATTTGTTCACTCCTCTATCAGAGAGCATGTGGGCACAGGGAAAAGAGATATGTGCAAATTAATCAATTTTGCTACATAGTAAAATGGTTTGGTAGGAGAAGAGATTATAAATAAGGGCTAAAATGAAGCTTCTAGACTGTCTGCCAATTTCATTTATCCTCGTTATCTCACCCCTTGTTAGAAATGTGGCTTCATTTAAAACTATTAGCCCCTAATGCAGTGCCTCTCAACGCAGGAGCATTAAAAAAAAAAGTGCCCTCTCCCCTCCTCATTATAATACACGGTCCATATTATGCCCTGTACAATTGCATAGTCAAAGTCTAAAATACCCTATAATCCACTAGCAGCTCTACAAAAGGGTCTTGCTTTTACTTGTGAGCCTAATCAGCGAGCCAACAATCAGGATATGCTGAAACATGACAGTCATTTGGCTAAAAGCATCAGTGAGTATAAAATATGACCTGGCTAAGTGGTATAGGCTCCATGCAAGCCTTGGACCATTTGGGTCCACAATTACCTACACATCCTGACCCTCAAAGCTAAATCTGTCCCTGATCACATCCTGGCCAACAAAACCAATTTACTTCCTCAGGTTCATCCTGTCTTAGCAAATGTCCCTGTTAGTCCCACTCTTCCCCATTTTCAGAACCAAATGTTGGGTTCTCCCTGTAATGAATGGTATGGCCATAGCTTCACTCCACTGATTTTCAGTGGGTTCACCTTGAATAAAATAAAAAATATCAGGAGGTCAAAGAATCAGAGGTTGTCTGACACAGCTTCGTTGCCAATATCATTTGGCAAAATAGGCTCTGCAATTAACAAAGCAGCTAGTCGCTGGTCATTCACCTAAAACTGACCTGCCAGGCTCAGTGTGCCAGTTCCACTGAACTGAATGAAAGGACTCTGTTCCTAAAGAGAGGAGCTCAGGATGTTTGGCACACCCCCAAGCTTTAGAGGCTGGCATCATAGGAGACACACATGTGTCTCTCATAAGCTTTCTCACAGAACAACCCGTGGCACCATGGACAGAAACAAACAGTGCACTGGACAAACTATGGGTCTGACCCAGAGTCTGGTGTTTCTGCTATTTTTAGGATAAAGCCACAAGTGATATTTTGCCTGAAAGCACAAAATCCACAACGCAGCATCTTCAACTCATTCAACTCACAGCCCAACAGTACCTTTTGCCCCATCCCCAGCTCAGCCTTCTTCACACTGACTCTTACTCTCCCCAACAAAAGCAAATTCCACATAAAAGAGGCAAATCCACCAAACTTGGTTGCCCACCAAGAATAATTCTTATTTGGGCAAGAAAAATTAGCATTTTCATCATAAGGGCTGATGACAATTTGTACTGATCCTAATGAATCATTTCCCCCAATCCTGATAATGTCGACTACAAAAAAAATGTCAACTACATATTGTCCA